ATCAGAAATGAGGGTAACTCGAATATGGAGGACGGGGGTAGCGTGGGGGGGGATGTTTGCCTGATAGTTTATGGATTCGGCGCCAAACATTTGAGATAGATGTAGAGGATGTAATTGATGAAACATAATTTCGCCAGCTATTTGTTTTACTATTCCGAATTGTACGACGAAAATAGGCAGATGGTCTTTTAAAGGAGATAAGGGCTGATAGTTGATTTGGAGTACCTCTCTTGTAGCGGTAACTGTTCCAGGCTGCACGTTTTAAGCGAAGTGCTTTAGTGCAATCCGAATTCCACCATGGAACACATTTGGAGGTATATGGTCTTGAGGTTTGAGGGATAGCTGTATGTGCAGCTCTTAGGACTGTAGTTGTGAAACACTGTATCATTTCTGAAATGGAGGAGAGGGAGGATGGTGGGGTATGAATAGCAGAGAGTGAAGTGAAAATATGCCAGTCGGTTCTATCAAAGCACCAGCGTGGGGAGTTAGGAAGTGGTACGTATGAAGTAGGAGAAAGGAGAACTGGAAAGTGGTCACTATAGGGAAAGTGGTCTAAGACTGACCAGTGGATATCTAAATGAAGAAAAGGGGAGCATAGAGAGAGGTCAACGCATGAAAAAGATTGCGTGCGTGTATCAAAGTGTGTGGGGCGGTCTGAATTTAGGATAGTAAGGTCAGCTGTAGAGAGGAAGCGTTCTAGGGATCGGCCTCGGGAGTTGGTGGTAGAATCACCCCAAAGAGTGTGGCGGCAGTTAAAGTCACCAACTATGAGGAAAGGTGGTTGAAGTTGGGAAGTTAGAGTTTCGAAAGCAACAAAGTCAATGGGGTGGGAAGAGAAGTAGACTGAAATCACTGTGATCCAACGATGAAGAAAGATACGAATAACTGTGCAAGGGACATTGGTTTGAAAGGGAGGTGTGACATAAGGTGTTTTCTGATTGATAAGTATGGACGAGACATAAAGGGAGCGTGGGGAAGAGACAAAATGATAATTGGGGATTGGAATTGGTGGATGTGTAAGAAAGGTCTCCTGAAGGCATACAATGGATGGGTTATAAGAGGAAAGGATATGGCGAAGGTCGGGTCTGTGAGAGCAGAAACCGCGAATATTCCAATGAAGGATAGTTATGTTTTAGTGATATAGATTGTAGTACGCGTTGGGGAATTTGAGGGGGAAGCAGCTAGAGGGTGGGATAAGGATTGAGAGGTCTGAGATGGGAGAGGTGTGGGAGTTGGTGTTCTACCAGGAGGGGTATTAGGAGATGGAGGGTCTGAGGAAGGGGATACTTGTGACATAAGGGATTCACGTGTGTATCCAGGAGGGAGTGGAAGGGATAGAGGGGATGGTGGGAGGGTTAATGTGGGCGGGGTTGGAGTCGGGGGGGATGGGCTGTGTTGGGAGGGGGTAGGAGGATAGGGTGTAGGGGGGATATCGTTAGGAGGAGGATGGATATCGGCGGTCACTTGGAGTGTGGAAGGAGCAGGAGTTGTAGGATTTGGAGGTTGAGAGTCAGTTTTCATGAAGTAATATTGAATATTTTCAATAGTTTCTTCTGAGGAGTTGGCTGGGGAGTTTTGGGGGATAGAGGATTTCGTGTGAGGGGGGGAAGAGAGAACTGGTGTCTCAAGAGTAGGGGCAAAGGAAGATGGAGGTGATTGTGTGGTAGGGAGGGGTGGAACGTTTGTTCTGTCTGTTACGGGTAGTGCGAGGAGGGAGAGGGGAAGGTGTTGGGGTTGTAGTGGAGATTGGAGTGTCTGTAGTAGAGATTGGAGTGTCTGGATTTAGGATGACAAAAGAGTTTGACTGGGGAAGGTAGGATGTAGAAGAGGGGGGGGGGGTAGATGTAGGAGGGGTGGGTTTAGGAGAAGTGGTAGAATGAGCAGGATTACTGGAGTAAGGAGTAAGAGAGAAACCCCACGTCGAAGTGCTTCCTGTCTGGCTTCACGTAGTGTGAGTCCAAGTTTGAATCTGAGAGTTGCTACCTCAGACTCAAATTTGTAGGTGGGACAGCCCCTATAAAATACATAATGGGGGCCACCACAATTGGCACATGTGCGTGATTGTGCAGAGCAGTTTGATCGGGTATGGCCAGGTTGGGCACATAGTGGGCATCTGGCTGTGGAACGGCAATGTTTGGCTGGGTGTCCTAGACGCCAACAATTTTGGCACTGACGTGGAGGAGGTTGGTATGGACGAACAGGGAGGGATTCTCCTCCTATGTCTACGGAAGGTAATTTTGGCTATGTTAGTGGGTTTCTTTCGATAACCACTGGGGGGAATGGAGTAGCATTGTACTGATATTGCATCATAGTCTGTGAGACAGGCGAGTAGGTCTTCTCCACAATCTGACCAATCTTTGTCATAGATTGGGCAATTTGCTGGGGAGATTGAAACTGTTCCGGTGCAAGTATTAAGGGTTGGATGGGGTTCTGCAAGGATGAGGTTACCATATAGGTCAGTTAGTTTTGTAAGTGCTATAGCTTGGTTTTCGGATGTTTCTGTGACAAGACGGGAGTGGTCGGGTCGGCTACGGAAAGAGACTTTACCTACTTGTTTTTGGAGACATTGTTGGAAGAGAAGGGTGTTGTCAAAGTAGGGAGCTGATGGAGGAATCACTAAAAATCGGTCCCATTTGGATGCGCTAAATAGAGCATTCAAGATTGTTGTAGAGATAGGGGTAGTAGAAGGGCGGGAGCGTGACGAAGAGGGAGTAGTGTTGAGGGAGGTAGTGTTATGGGGAGGTGGGCAATAAGGCTGTAAGGTATTAATAAGGGAGGATGGGGTGGTTGATGTCGGAGGTTGTGGGGGTAGAGGTGTTGAAGTTGAGCATGTTGGGAGAGTGGAAATGTCTCTTGAGGGTTGATTGTTGGCTACTGTACTAGTAGGCATTGATGAGGGGATAGTTGTTGCAGTGTTCGGAGCCGTGGTCAAAGGAGAGCCTGGGGTGAGGGAATCGGGCGGGTTTACATCGTTGGGGCTATTTGATAAAAGGGCAAGCCTCATTACCCCTAATAGTGGGGATATGTTTTCAGTATTGGCCATAGTAAACCTGGATTATGTTGGGGATAAAAACAGTCCACCCCTCAGGGTGCCCTTGAGGGGTAAGGGCTAGGTAACTAAATCAGGGGCACACCGTGCCCATGGCTCCCTCAGGCTGTTCAGGACTGGCACAAAGTCAGCCTTTCATCTTTTCAGCACGGCTCTCACACCTTAGGAGGTGGATAGCAGAAGGGTTTGGTGAAGGGACAGAAACGAAAAGTGGGAAAAAAAGAGCATGCAAAATTAGTTGAGTCGAGGGCCGAGTCCCAAGGTTGGAGAGTTCCCCATCATTGGGTCCCAGTCTCCGCCTCCTAAGCCCCCCCCACGACAACAACGGGCAAGGGATTGGGGGGGGGGGGGTAGAAGATGGGGTAGGACTTCTAGACTGTCTGGCGCAATAGGTAAGGGGAGGAGTAAGGAGAGACATGGGGCAGTTGTGGATATTGGAGTATCTGGATTTAGAATGGAAAAAGGATTTGACTGGGAGATGGGCGAAGTAAAGAGGGGAAGGTGAGGAGTAGGGGGCACTGAGGAAGACCGAGGCTACTTGGGTAGAGGGGATAGTGGAGGGAAGGATGGTATGCGAGAACAGTGATTGAAAATCCTTGCTGGCATGCTTTCTGTCTGGCCTCTTATAGAGTGAGGCTTAGTTTGTATCTGAGAAATGCTAATTCAGACTCCACCTTATAAAATATATTATAAGAGCCACCACAATTAGCACTGTGCAGGGCAGTTTGAATGATCATGACTGGGTCGGGCTTAGAGAGGGCAGCAGACTGTGGAGCAACAGTGCTCTGCAGGGTGGCCAAAATGCCATTTCTGACATTGATGGGGTGGGGCTTGATGTGGGGCTTAGGGCAACCCTTGGGAGTAATGCTGTTGCACTGTAATGATACCGCATCGTAGTCCGTGAGGCGGGCAATTAGGTCGTCTTCATAGTCTGTCCGATCTTTGTTGTAGATAGCGCAATCAGCTGGGGAGATGGAAACAATTTCCAAGCCGTTCATGACTGACACAATGTCAACCTTTCATCTTTTCAACATGGCTCTTACACCTTAAGAAGTAGGCAGAGGAAAGGGTTTGGGAAGATAAAGAAAAGTAAACAAAAAAAGACTAGTCTAGTCAAAGGCTGAGACCCAAGGTAGGGGAGATTCCAGCATTGGGCCTCAGTCTCCATCTCCTAGTCCACACACACACACACACACACACACACACACACACACACACACACACACACACACACACACACACACACACACACACACACACACACAAAACAACAACAACAATGGGCAAGGAATTGGGGGAGTATATTCTTTGAGGGCAGTTTTGAAAAATATAAGAAAGACTGGTAATATACATACTAGAAATAAAGATAAATAAAATGTTAATGTGGCTGATATTTTTTATATCCACAACCAAAGACTTACTTATTCCACCCTCATACACCACCTAGTGCAATCTGTGATAACTATAAGGCCATCATAAATAAGCAAATCAGAATCTGTGCCTTAAATAATACTAGTGAAAAAAAAAACATATCATAAAATATAATGCATTTGGGAAATTGAAGCCAAAAACATAGCTCTGACAATCAGGGACATTCTTCTTCACTTCACATAGCTAATGGAGGTTTTCATCAATTACAATTTTCATAATGTATTTATAAAAATAGATACACTGATTCACTCTACATGAATGGCCTGATCCAAATAAAGAAAATAAAAATGAAAAAAACTCGGCACTAGTTATGACTTGTGAACGTTCCCTTTGACTTTGTTTACATTTCCATGTTTAATCCCATATCTTCATCTCCCTGCAATTTATGTCACACAGAGAGCAAAGGTGTCCAAGCTTATCAACTGACTTAAAAATTCAGTATTGATAGCAACCAGCCAGGTCATGTCTCACAGCTGTGCATTACAAAGGTACAAGGAAAGGGGAAATAACAAACACATACTTCTAATTAAAGGTATCCTTTATGTACATCTCATAATGGCATGAGTATTGCCACCACACTTCCATACACACAAAAGCACTTTCAATAAGAATGCTATTGTAAAAATTATACCAATCAAGTAGCAGAACTCCATTTCCAATATGACACAAGAAAAATCTTAAATCTAAAAGTTTGCTGGTAATGACAAACTGGAATGCCATTTTCACCAATTCACCATGCATAAATAATGAACACTGGCACCAAAGCATGTATTACTTGAACAGTTATATGGAATTGAAGAGGTCAGGGGCCTGATGATGCTAATAATAAGCACTCCAAAACTGGATCTGTTGATTATAATAACCAAAACTATAATGTTCTAACACTTCTGTACTAACAAGGATAGTGGAAAAACCTGGAGAAGGTTAAATGTCTAGGAGCATTTAGGATTCATCTTTGCACAAGAAACACCACCATACTGACAACTTTCGTCAACCAGAATGTTGTACGCATCAATGAGAGGAAATATACACAAAACAAGGTAGCTGGGGAGAAGTTTAACCTTTCCAAGATATTCTGACAGTTAATCTTCAAACTATACAAAGCAACAGAAAAAGGTACAATACAACTTCTCAAGAAAGGCTGAGTGTCTCTTGTGAACCCTACTTAACCCTAGGCAAATAACTGATGGTCGTATTTATCTATCAATAAATAAACAGTAGCACCAAATCAGAAGTTATAATATTATCTACAAAGATAAAAAGTATGCTACACTGGGCATTTGCCACCAATCACAGACAGACATCGTGCACTGTTAACCTCTGCAACGACATTACTGACCTCATGCTCTTTGTGGAGAGGTTTTTGAAATCTGTATGAGAGTGCCTATATCAAAAGGGGTGCCTCTGTTATTCAGGAATAGGAAATAATATTCAAGGAGTAAATGGTCAGAGTGGGGACCCGTAGAAGACAGGAAATGCATCCCTCATTTTAACCATAATTTGAGGAGAAACGGTTTCCAAGTATTGTGGAATGAATAGGTCAGCTATCTCCAGGATCTGCCTTGGAGCCAATATTCTAAACAGAAGAGTTGCACGTTATCTGGATCAGCTGAATCTCTTCGGCACAATGGACCTCACCGGTAGTAGAATGTTTAGATTATTATTGCTCTTCTAGACCTGTTGATTGGGGTCTAAATAACATCTCTGAATGTTTCTGCTTTACTCTTAGTTGAGCGAGAGTCTGAACATAATACCTTTAGTGAGCTCATGCAAATAAAAATCACACACGTATCACCAACTTGATTCAATAGCACAAAGCAATGATTAACACAAGAACCTAAACCCTACTTCTTCAACTTGGCTTAACTAATGCATGATCGTGAAATGGGTCTTTGTAATTCACATTTTCTTTTTTTTGCTACTGATACAAAACCATATAAAAAAAAGGAAAATCTATATGGAACAAAAACAGTTCCTGATCCTCTCAGTTGCAAAAGTTCTAAAAGAGAATGAAGAGAAAAAAAAAAAGAAAGAAAGAAAAAAGAAAAATGACGAAAGAAAGGAAAATGAAAAGACAGGAGTTGTATCACTAGTGTGGACGTGTATAATTTGTTTTTGATCTATTTTCAGACCTGTATATTTCCTAGTCATTAAAAACCAATAAAGAATACTACTGTTTTATGAGCAACAGGGCATTGAATAAAATATCTAAACAAGTACGATTTGGCAATTTACCCAGTATGCGAAAAGGGGGAAAAAAAAATCTCCACCCTCCTGTGTAACTTGTCTAGGCACATTCCCCTAATCTGCATAATACATCTAAAAATGTTGCTCAATGAAACCAAATCTATCCTTAATTCCACAGATACACTCTTTTTTTTTTCCTTTAAGACCGTAACATTTGAAACTCGACCACGTACAAGCGAAGTCTGGATTCCTTTTCACTAAGCCACTGGAACTCTTTAATATTCATGAAACGATGACTGCTGGGTGGTTTGTGTCGATACAACATCCATTACAATTAATACAAAACTAAACAAAAGCAATTCCATGGGAGTTTCTGTGAGGTTATCGAGAGCATTTTGAATTGGAAGTACGTTTCAGGCATCGCAGTCCTGAGCTGTTGTGGCTGTTCCACTTGCTTTTTACATCCTCAACTCTCCCACTCCTCAGCCTGGAAGGGAAGGAGAAGCCGTCAGTGTCATACATCTACAGTGGACTATACATGAATGAAAAATTATCAGTCTTCACAGGGTAAAAAAAATAAATATATATATATATCTAGTTTCTTATGCCCCTAATAGAAATGTTATGAAATTCAGTATACAGAAAAAAAGAAAAAGAAGAAGAATATAGTCAGAAGAGGAGCATGAAAGGATGACATCAACAAACATTCCTTTCTGCTTTTGTAAACCATTTCTGGTTATGGTATCTAACATGCAAGTTTAAATTTTGGAAAAAAAAAGGAAGTATATCATGCAAAGTAAAATATGTATCAAAATTTACCCATTTGTAACCCTGGCTACTAACCCTGTCTTTAAGATCTTAAAACTGTTGGTATCTTCATATTTCACAGAAGCTAAGAACACGTAGGAA